AAGATAAGATAAGATAAGATAGATCTTTATTGTCACTATTTGAGAAATAGTGAAAAACAGTTTAGCAGCTCTCTGTTTATATATATGTTTGAGTTTATTTTTTAATGATTTACTTGTACATTTATTTATTCATACTTATATATAGGTCATGCTTAGTCCTCCATAGCTAAGTGGTCCACCAGGAATTCTCCCCAGTCTCCCCATTGGCTACTCCATCCATATTAGCAAAATTAAGATATTAGCAAGAATCTCTTCATCTGTAGCACAGAATCTTTTCAGTCATCATCCAAAAGGGGGGCATGCCTAAATCTACCAAGCAATGAAACATTGATATACGGCTCTGGAAAAACCTCCATATATTAAAAAAATGTAAAACCTCTGAATCTGTCTGTTCTGCTGGCAGACGGCTACACCGAGGCAGGCGGCTTCTTAGCAGGACACAAGAACAAGGTGAAGCAGGAGACACTGGGAAAGACCAACAATCAGCCAGATGTTTGTTCACCAATGAGAAGCAGGGAAGAACCAGGCTACAGTTTGCAATAAAATGAATATCTGTTACAGGTGCAAACTCAGAAATGGGTGAAACTGAAAATTCAGCTATGGTCTCACTTTTTTTCCAGAGCTGGATATTCAAATATAAGGACAATATTGCCCAATATTCCCAAGGCACCACTAAGAAGACAAAAGTTCTGTATGAAAATGTTGGATGGGTTTTGAATTAAGATATTCTTAGCACTTATTTATGAAACAGCCAGAATGAGCTGAGGCCATTTGTAATGTACATCCTTCTTTCATCCTTAAACTTTCATCCTTAAAGACGGTTTGAGCTGATGAGAGTTAGACTGAACAAAATCATGAATTATTACATGCCAGCTTCACATTGACCAGGAGACTACAGGCTTCTCTCCTGTTAGCAGATTCTGATAAATTATGTTTCTAAATAAATATTGAAAGGTTGTGTTGACTAATAGGATCAACTCTGCAAAATAAAAGAAACGCTGGTGTGTATTTTCTCTCAAGGTGTGTCTTGCGAGATCCTTCTTCTTTGTTCAGGTTACAGAGCCTCTCACTGTAGAGCTTCACGTTCGCAATGCTTTAAATTTCTTAAAGTCTTATAAAGACAGGGGTCTTACAACCCATAAACACTGCTCAAAGTCTGGTGTGACACAAAAGGAATTTCGCGGCTGGTCATGCACACAGCAAGCGTGTATGAGGTCTGGTGTGACACAAAAGGAATTTTGCGGCTGGTCATGCACACAGCAAGCGTGTATGAGCGTGTACCTCTGACACAGGCAGCGTGCGTGACTCTGTCCTGTAGATACCAATGGCGATGTCTCCAGAGGAAGAGCAGAGCTTTTGGTAGAGTCTGCCATATGTGCGGATCCAGAGGTCCTCCTCTGTGATCTTCATCTGCCAGACACAGGCAGAAGAACCTCATCCACCACCTCCATTTTTGCCCCACGTGGTTTTTGTGTTTGTGCTTAGTGTAAATACTCACGGCACACAAGAAGCCTGAACCCGGAGTGGAGTCGAGTCCCAGGAGCAGCCGGGTTATGGAGATCATGTAATCCTTCACAAAGGACTGCAGACATGTATGCACACGCAGAGAGAGAGAGAGAGAGAGAGAGAGACAGCGCTGATGCAGCAGCTCCAACCAGCACAATCGCAACACAGCACAAGGACGTGACCTTGGGCACGTCGAGGCAGGACCAGTTTACCTGGTAAAGCAGTGTGTCGAGCATGCTCACACTGAACACCTTCCCCGCAGCGAAGGGCAGCCGGAACATGAAGACCAGGTTGGAGCCTTTCTCTCGCTCCTTCTGTGTGGGAGAATGGTGGAACGGGGTGGGGACAGTGTCAGAGAGGTACACTGTCTCTGAAATGGAGCCAGATCCACGCAAACACTCAACAGCAGGTGGTATTAGGAACGCGTGGCTTCACCGCGTATAACTCAGAGCATCGGCTGTCTATCGCACCAAAAACCATGTGTTTGCAAGGGGCCCCTGAGCAGTCACTACACTAGGGGGCACGGGGCCCCAAAGGGCCCCAGAAACAGCAGCCCCACACCTGGCTAAGAGATGCATGGCCTCAGAAAAAGGGTCTATGCCTGTGACCACAAGCACTCAGCTGAGTGAAAGATGCTGCAAGCCATAGATTTTTAATATATGGAGTAAAACAGGAAAAGGTACAGCTGACGCATGAACACGCACGTTCAGTGAACCTCTCCTGTTTACCTGTCAGGTGGAGCTCTGAAGGTCATGCTGCTTCAACCTATTAACGTCAGCGGCTTGATATCTAATCAGCACAGGACGTATTTTTTTAAATATTTTTATTGCACTTAGGTACACGATACCAGTAAATAGACCAGACACACCTGCATTTAATGCATTAATCTATAGTTTAGTGTTACTCACCTTATAGTAATAGGCCTCAATGCAATGAAGTAATACATATCAAATATTTCAACAACCAACAGAAGTGTTCAATATTTCAGTTTTCTCAAACTTTCCAAAACAGCCTCCTGAAGGAGTTTCCACAAGTTCTGGGCTCAGGTTGGCTACCTTGCTCTTACTCTTCAATCCAACTCATCCCAAACCAGCTCAATGGGGTTTAGGTTGAGGGATTGTGGGGGCCAGGTTTTCTGTCACAACACTCCATCACTTTCTTTGTTCACAATATTAATACAGTTCTTACATAACCTCAAGGTGTACTTAGCGTCATCATCTTGTTGAAAAACAAATGATTTTCAGTAAGTGTGTCCAGACTTATGACTGGTATTCTATTTTGCAGGATAATGGCTGCAGTCCAGAAAATATACAAAAGCAAGTAGCTGTAACTTTATTCTTTCAGGTCCTGCTCATGGTTAATGACACTTTACACCACCTGCTGGTCCTGTGACATAATGTCCAGCACCCACCTTCTCCAGTCTGGAGAGGGCCAGAGAATAGTGGTCCTTCACCTTGAACTGCATGAAGCGCATGTTAGCTGGGTGGGTGAGCTCTGTGATGATGCTGAGGGCAGGGAAGAGCCTGGGAAAAAGAAAGAGATACAGTGAGAAAGGGAGAGACAGGGAAGGGAGGAGAAGGACACAGACGGACAGAAAGAAAGGGACGCAGGGAGACAGAGGGACAGGGAGAGACAGGGAAGGGAGGAGAAGGACACAAGGACATCTTTACTTTTAACATATTTTTAAAGTATATTTTTGTATTTTCAGGACTTGTTTTGTGAACTTATTTTTTGTTTTGTTATCCTTTATTACATATTCTGGAGTAGTGGCAATCTCATTTCACTGCTGGTGTACCAGTACATTCATGCATGTGACAAATAAAAATCTCAAATCTTAAGGATGCTATGCCTGTGATTAGGTCACCAGTCCAAATCCCATGGTCACCATCGGGCCCCTGAGCGAGGCCCCTGAGCGAGGCCCTTAACCCCCCATTGCTGCTGGGACTGTCTGACCCGGCTTTGTCCCTTTGGATAAAGGTGCCTGCTAAATAAGTACAATGTAAAAATGTCCTGGTTGTAGAACTTGCTTGCTGCTGTGTTCACTTGCCTTTTCTGTATTCTGACTGGTGGGATGGAGTGGTGTCTGTGTGAGTCTGGCATTGCTGACTGTCACCTTGTCTTAATGGGATATTGTCAGGGTCAGTGCCCACCTGCCCCTGTCCTTGTGTCTCTTCTCCATGTGTCCAGAAGCCATCGCTGGCCATCCCTTTTGTCGTTTCATTGTCTTTGGCCCTAGCATGTTATTCCTGTTCCTATGACTGCCACATGACTCAATGGGCTGAGTGTGTGGTACAGAGGCTGTAACCCTCTAGTCATGAGTTCAAAGCTGGCCAGGAACCAACCTCAGCTGTTTCATTTAATTATTGGTTTTTCTGTTCTTCCTCGTGTGTATTAGTTCTGTGTTCTCCTTGTGAAGCTTGTGCCTTGTTCCACGTGTTCCTTTATTTTCTATGTGTTGAATTCCTGGTGTGTGATTAGTGTTTCTTGCAGTGTTTGTTGGAGTTTCCCTAAGAAGTAGTACTAAGAAGTTCCATTCACAGCCAACCGGGCGCAGATTCATCAGCCCATTTTAGGCTTCAGTGACCGTTCCCTGTATATGATAAGCTGTTTTAAAAATAAATGCCCTGGATTCATTTGTGAAAAGTGCATGTAAGTCCCTTGATTTTGTACTTAGTAAACAGACACAAAAAGACACTTAATAGACACAAAGAGACAGAAAAAACATACTCTTAAAAATGCATGCACACAAGAAACATTCAATCAAACATACAGTGGCTCAGCTCAATGCAACACTCAAGGCCCACCTAAAGAGAGTCTGGACGTTGACGATGGTCTTGGCATCAGCCATGTAGTCCTCCTCGGCGATCATGGAGCTCTCCTTGTCCACCACCACCATGGTGTCAGCAAATGTGATGCCACAGCGGAGCAGGCTGTCCAGACTGAAGGGCAAGAGGAGGGAGATGTGGGTGGAGATGTGAGGGTCAGAGGCAGGATGGATATGACAGTGGCTACTCAATGACTAACTAGAGAGAGGGCGACTTTGGTGAGAAGTGACTACGAGACACCTGGTCATATCAAGTCTTCATGGGTTGCTTACTTATCAATGGATCCCACGGTGTAGAAGACCATGGGGAAGCAGCAAATGGCCTCCAGGAAGTAGGTCTCAGGCCTGCGAGCAGAGAGACGCCCCACAAAGTCACAGCAGCACTTCCAGGAATTTGACCACTGCTTCTTTAATTTGCACTTGAGGACCAGTGCTTTTGATCTATCTGAATCACAATGAGTTTTATAGGCCACGTAAGTTCACACTTACAAAGCATTTAGCTTGCAATAAACTCACAATCAACACTGAATGGTAAATCGGCTAAAAAAAATCATGAAGCGAGATTGCTTGCTTAGCATGACAGCTTGTTAGGATTAAGGTAGTCTGAGCTAAACACAAGTGAACGAAGATAAAGTCCACTTAAACTGGGGCACCCCAATCTTGACGAGCTATCCAGTTAAGCAAAAAAATCCAGCTTTGTGATACAGGCCCAAGCTCTCTGACTGCTAAGCACTGCGGCAGGGTGCTGACCCAAGCTTTGTATCCGATGGCTTCCGTAAAGTGCCGGGCTCCCAACGTTAAACACTGGGGCCCCTGTAAAGTGTTGCCCCCCCCCCCCTGGATCTGACAGGGTTTCCATGCCCCTACTGCACCCTGATGATAAGCTGTGAGTAACTCACGCTTTTGCCGTGCTTAAGTCATGTATCTAAGTGCATCGTCAGCTAAGGATCAGAAAGGCCACAGCCCAGCACCATTCCCAACATCCAACCCATAATAGTAAACATTACGTTAAAACACAGTAACATTAACCTTCCTAAATCTGTCTACTCGCACACATAGGTCATGCCTTTCCTGATCACAGAATACTTCATTGGCTAATCCTCCCGAATCCCACCCCATTCCCTGCAGAACCACCCACGGGCTCTCCAGCAGCAGCACAATCGGATTCAGCTCCTTCTTGGGTCTGTAGTATGCCCGCAAGGGCACCAGGAAGTTGTAGAGACCGTTTCCAGCACGCTCTGCCGATACAATGATCAGCTTGTTCTTGAAGCCGTAGGAGCGGGCATCCTCGTAGGGCACGTGGTGGCAGCCCTGCAGGAGACGACGATGAGATTGAGAAGCGATGCCGGTCACCCAGAGGGACCAGCGGGGGAGCGTCTCCGCCAAGGTGCCTCACCTTGTCCAGGCGGAGGCAGCAGAAGGACACCTTGTCCTTCAGCAGGTGGCAGAGTGTGGGCGAGCTGCCGATGTAGGGCGAGTTCAGGGGGTAGCCCTTCACCCACCTGCCACAGAGAGACAGCACGACTGTGACACGGCACCTTCACATCTGTGTGGCCTTTCAGATACCGATGAAAGAAACACCCAGATACCTAAACCTCCCTGAAGAGTGTGTGAGCGGAGGTAGTCTAATGAAATTAAATGCTGCATAATTTGCCATTCATAGATGTATGAAACAGATACAAGGGGGAATGTGTTCTTTCAAATATTCTGTCTTGCTGGCCTTGACATTTGAAGATGCACAGAGGTGGAGGCAAAGCTCTGGGTCTGTGCACAGGGTCAGTCACCCATCCAGCATTAGAGCTCTAGATCATTTTGGGCTGTGTGGGGGGATTATAAACAGTGACATTCTGATCACAGGCATAGGTCTAACCTGCTGAGCCACATGCCTTCCCCCACCCAAAATGTTTGTGTCAGAAGTGGTATTTGAACCCAGTCCTCCATGTGAAGGCCAGAATACCCACTGTGCAACGTGACTGTCCTTGCGCCTGATGCCTTAAAATATTCAGCCATCCTGACACCAGCTAGGTCCTTCACCGGTGTTACTCAATCTTTCCACACTGTGTCCCCCAATTACTACTGGAACCCCGTTACCCCCACTCACTCGCAATGCCCCGCCCAGCTATGTCCCTCAGCTCCTCCTTTGCTCTCCTCCCCCTCGCCGCCTTCTCCGCTCTCATCCTCCGATTGGTCACTCAGGAGATCCAGGGAGGGGCTGCTGACCCCGTCCACCACTTCCAGGACTGGGCCGATACTCTGCCGTCTCTCCCCTGCCTCCTTGTTGGGTAGCACCAAAGTATTGGTGCCCAGCTTGCTGCCTGCTCCGCCTCCACCTTCCACGCTGTCGGGACTGCTGCCGCTGGAGTCGGGCAGATCCATGGCCACGGTGCCTAACAGGGGGTGGAGGGATGGGAGGAATGATATGAGTACTCTGTATCCATTAGCAATGGGATGAATCACAAGTACTCTGCATCCATTAGCAATGGGATGAATCACAAGTACTCTGTATCCATTAGCAATGGGATGAATCACAAGTACTCTGTATCCATTACTAATGGGATCGATCACAAGTTCTCTGTGTCCATTAGCAATGGGATCAATTTCAGCAGAACTGGGCTCTGCTGGTCGACAAAATTCAGTTGCAGTTTAAGCATAAATGCCCACCCACTGATGTAATTTCTGACTGTGTCCATTGTGGGGGGGGGGGGGGGGCACAGCTGGGAGAGACTGAATCATAGGCAAATAGCTTTTTCGTATTTTCATCTGACCGATCAGGAATGAAACTGCACCCCTGGTAAAATCACTTACAGACTGAATGTAAAGGTGTCTTCAGAATTATTCACCGCCTAATTCAGTTCCAATTCTTACCAGCAGAGGGAGGACTTGCATCAAAAATGTAATTGGAACTTTATTAGACCCATACAGGGTAATGTTACAGAATGAGCAATTCAGTGCGTTTGCATTTTAAAAATTTGGCAAGCTATTTTAATATTTTAGGTGTTTTGTATTTCTGTATCATTTCATAATAGTGAGAATTAGCTTGTAACTGGGAGGGACTCACCCATGCTGGCGATGATGCTGTGCACAGGGAGGCGTGTCAGGCCGTGGTAGATGGTCTGGGGCACCCCCCCAGAGCCCCTCCCTGGACCTCGTGCAGATTCCCGCTGGCCCCGGACAAAGGCAGAGTTCTCCTCTTTGGAGATGTTGATGTAAAAGCAAGTATCAGAAGAGGTCATGATGTGGCAGGGGCCTGGGTTGAGCAGAATGTTGGCTGTGTCCTTCCTGCGGACCCCAATAAGACACACACCGTACCTGCAACACACACACACACGCACACACACATCAGAGTAGGTTACTGTCAGGACTGTAAGGAGTGTGAGTAACTGAGTGTGACGGTACTGTGGGCTGCGCGTTACTGTCACTGCATTAACCTGAAGGAGTGTGAGTAACTGAGTGTGACGGTNGTTACTGTCACTGCATTAACCTGAAGGAGTGTGAGTAACTGAGTGTGACGGTACCGCATGCTAATCACTCAGTATTAAATGTGTCACTCACACACAGTCCCATTTCACTGTATATGTAAAAGCAGGGGCTTTGGTTTTCTCACTTTTTATGGGCGTGGAAGGATGCGAAGGTAAAGCTCTTGCCCTGGTACTCGCCAAAGAACTTGCTCTCCTCAAGGCGAATGTGGTACACCTCATTGGCTGAGCAGCGGCTGTAGGTGCGTTGCCATTGGTCCACAGAGTTAGCACCACCTTCCCTGAAGAGGGAATCCAAAAATGGATTTAAAGGAAGCTCCATGCCCACGTATCTGCGTGTTACGCTCAGGTGTCTGCGCTCCGGCACTGACCTGCTGAGGGACTGGAAGGCCCCTGGGCGCTGCCGAAACGCCTCCTGAGGTGCTGTCCTGAGGGTAACCGGTACACAGGAACAGCAGCTTGGGGTCAGAGGGAGGCACTGCAGGTCACCTTAGATACTAAATGCAAAAACTGTCGGTGTCTGTGTCTATCTCTGTGTTTCTGTGTCTGTGTGCATCCGTGTCTCTGAGTGAATGTGTGTATCTGTGAATGTGCATGTGTGTGTTTGTGTGTGTGTGTCCGCGTGTATGTTTGTGTGTATCTGCATGTGTGTCTGTATCTCTGTGTTTCCGTGTGTGTGTGTGTCGAGTGTGTCTGATATGTGTGAGTGTGTATGTGCGTGTGTGTCTGTGTCAGTGTCTATGTGTGT